CATACATACATGCATGCACACATACCCCTCGCAATAGCTGTTGCTGAAGAAAAAACCTTTTTGTGTAGTTCCTGTTGGTCCAAGTTGAACACGTTATCCTGTGAATGTATGAAACACTTCTGCGAAAATCTTTCGCTTGCTTGAAAAGGGATTTTTGATCTGGAGTCTAGTAGTCTAGCAGGCTGCATGTGCATGCTGGTGAGTGTCTATGACCTTCGTGCATGATCTTGCCTTTACCCTGTAAATTCCCACCGGTAGCCAGAGACAGGTATCTAATTTCTCAAACAGGTATGCTGCGGACCGGCCAGCGCGCCGTCGCCGTGGCTCCTCAGGGGAGTGGCGACGCGACCGGCTAAGCAGGCACAGAAGCTAGAGGGCTCGTTCTGGGGATTCCGGCTTATTACAGAACTTTGGAATAAATTCGGAGTAGTCGTGCGCTCGTGGCAGCATTAGTTCTCGTGCCTTGTGACCTAATAGATGTATCCAGATCGATGTCATTGCGATCCATCCCATCGTCATCTTTGCAATCCGACAATCACTACCGAAGTACTTCTCTAGTCAGAGGGAATTCCCACACCGAGCGAAATTGCCAATGCAGGGCGGAGATTTGTGGGAGCCTCAGAACACCTGCTGGCCATTGAGGCATGATCAGGGTGTATGCAACAGAGTAAATTTCTATGATAGATATATGCTCTGTATATATAATTGAAATTCGATATATGTACGTACGCACGTATACGTATGTATATATATATATNNTATATATTATTATTATATTATATATAGATGTATGATGTATTTAGTTCGGGTGGACAGGCGTGGCAGTTGCGGATGTAAACTTAATTATCATCGAAAGCGTTTGGTCATGCCGGTTCAGGGGCACTCCTAGCCGACCGCATAAGGCCTTTTCGGGAATTGGATCCGGGCGCAAATGCCAGTGTGAGAAAACGGGCGTGGCCGTGGAAGGCAGATCTTACAAAAACCCGTTTGCGGTTTCCGGTATAGTTACATGTACATGTTTCAAAGGAAACCCTGCTGCAGAAGCGAAAAGCCCAGAATTCATTACCTAGGCCCCTGTTTGCTCTGTCCAATATTTCTCCTTCTCTCGACGGTGTCTTAACACCAGTAGGGTTTAATCTCCACACATGCTCGCGGGGTGCAGGGTGAAGCTGCGATTGACAGTATGGGAGTACATGTTGTTACCAAGGCAAGTACAAGGAGCAGACCGGGCAGCACCGGAGGCACGTCGGATTGGAATGTTTCGGCAGAGCTTTCGGGGGCTTCTCAAGGAACAGCGTTGCAAGAAAAAGGGCTGGCGAGAGTTCGACCCTTTCTTATGCAGATTCTGTGCAGGTGGCAGCCGCGTGGTTAGCAGGTCCACTTGCCAGCTGCGATACTCACTCTGCTCCTTTGCAGGGATGGCTTTGGAGTTCTGATAACCTTAAGCCTGAAGCCTAAGCCCTACTACCCAAAACCAAAACCTGTAGACCCTAAACGCCCTAGGCCCGAAACCCCAAACCCTTCTGTGAGTGCTGCTGTATTGGAATGTGATTTCCGTGGCTTTTACCAGCGGAAGGGTTTGGAGAGGGAGACGAATACCGGGGCTCTCTGTAACGAGCCAATGCTTTTCCGACGCATTTGAGAGAGTCCCAGTTGTGATTGCTGGGCCCCTTCGGACGACAAAGTTCGAGAGTGAGTGGTGAAACCCTTCGTTGTCGTGCTGAGCCCTTGTGCTCCTGGACTGAGTTCGTTTTTAGGGCTCAAGGCTCAAGCCTGGAACTAGGCCCCTCAGTTGGAAATACTGCCGAGGTGGGAAAGCTGCAGATGAACCGGATTGCAGAGCCATGCAAGAGCTGCGGTGTCCGGGCTTCGATGACACCTCGAAAAACGATAGCAATTAGGGTAACAGAAACAAAAAGCATGTAGCAGTACTGAGTACGAGCTGACATATAAAGGAATCTGCTAGTAAGAAGGGATGGGAAGGGGAGAAGCAGTCCGGACCCTGCATTGAGTTTTTTAGGAGCAGCCACCAGTGCGCCATCCAGAAGTCATGAGCTTCATCCGCAGTGAGTGCTTCCCGCCAGGTGTTGGATGTTTGGATGCTTGGGGTCTTGGATGTGCTGTAGTCTTCAACTCAAAGGGCTCAAACTGTTCGGCTTGTAGTGGGTCTCGGTTTTTAGGAAGGGCTAGTCTATTCAGGCTCAAGTAGAAGTGCGAATTCGACTGCCGCAGGTTCTCCTTTCGATCCTTCGGAAGCAGATGCCTTCGGTGTTTGATGCGGCGCTGCGCAGAAGCTCACCAGGAATTCAAGGGCATCAATCCCTGGTTACCGGTATTCCCCATGTACCACGGCAGTGGAACTATCACTATGTCCCGGAGCAACAAAGCTTAGAGGTGTTGGTTCAGAATGTTTCCTCTTAAACCACCGAAAAATCGCCTAAACCTGAGCGATAGTATCACACCGACCCGAACCTATGGATCCTCGCCTGGCCAGTCCGAGTTCTGAGAGCGTAAAGCCTAAACCCTTTCAGAGATCGAAACGTTTCACGAGTCAGCCGTACTGCCGAGCCGCCCTCCTCGGCTTGATTTCACTCCCAAGGGGTCCAAGTCCTAGCGCAGTATATAAATTTTGGAGCCCATATTAACATCCATGTCTATTATTAAATAAATCAATTTGTATCTGTATTAAAGAAGTATATATTCACATATATATATATATATGTCTACTCAGTACCTACCATTCAGGGACTTGAACCCTTTGGACTGCTCGCACCGAGCCTGTAATTAGATCATGCCCTCACGTGAGAGACTCAGGCCAGAACTGGAAGTGGGCGCGTAAAGCATACCAATAGGCCCCATAGTAGTTCCTTTGGGATGACCTTATAGGATTCTAAATATGAACCCAAATTGGGCCTATGGGTAAATATCGGCATGCCGCAGAAATCTGCTGTTCATATGCCTCGTTGGATTTCAAGCCCAGAGTTGTCAAGGTTTTGTTGCATCGATGGCTTCCGGTATTTAGATCTCTTCATTTGGGAGTCGAGTCTCTTTGCGGCGCGCTACCCCGAGCACATTTTCGTGTTCGTTCCGCCTGAGTGTGCTTGCCTACAAACCTACGAAGTGGCATGGAATGTGCGAGAGTGCATTTCGCTCAGAAGTTTCTCAGGATTCAGTTGACGGCAATCCATATACGGACTTGAAGCGGGACTAGATTTACAGCATTTTACAGCTGCCCCACGAAAATGTAAAGTTGACACGCTGCATATCCCTATCTCATGTCCTTGCCACGAGCACTGCCAGCAACTGAAGCTCCAGATATTATTTGGCAGGTTGCAGTGATGTACGATTGAGGCCTCTCAACAGCGACATGCCGTGCTATAACTAATGTAGCGGCTTAAAAAATTACCATAAATTACCTATACCATCTTGCGGGTTCCCTATTATAACTGTGGTATAATATACACAAAACCCTTTTCGAATCATTACGGCCCCTATAGGGTGGTCTAAGGAAGACAGTGGCAGTGGAAGCCTCGCCCTGGTCGGATTGGTTTCCTCGCGGAGTTTGTGCCAGCCAGGGGTCGCTGGCCAAAGGAAAACTGGTGGACTTCATTACCCATAGGCCCCATAGTGGTTCCTTTTTGCGGTTCATGTTTAGAATCCCATAAGGTAATCCCCAAAAAGGAACTACTATGGGGCCTATTGGTACGGCCATGAATCAGTCGCATGAACGCTCTTCAAGGCAAAAGTGCCATAGGCGTTGCGGCATTGTGGCAGTACCTCGCCGTGATATCCTGTTCAAAGCTGAATGCATTTCGCCGGGGAGACTTGTGAAGCAAGCCGCAGCGTTGACTTGAAACTTCTGCATGACTTCACCCCGTTTTACGACAGAATTCGGAAGCAGGTCTTGAAGTATCGCACGATTGGTCCGCATCCCGCTACTACACCACAGCTTTTATCAGAGTGACCCAGCCTGCTATCCGTTAAGTGCCAGAAATAGAAAATGTAGAGTACGATTCTACAGCCATGTGGCGGCAACTCCGAAAAGCCCACATCTTTACGGCAAGGCTTTGCCGGCTTCCTTTCGCTGTGAGGGCTGGTGTACTGTGCGGTAGCCGGTGTGAACTTGGGACACAGCAGTGATATCCCGAACGTCGATGCTTTGTTTGGTTGTGCTCGTGTCCGCAGATCCCGATGTTTGAAGCACAGTTGCGCTAAGTGGGGGAGTGGCCAGCTGCCCCGAACTCCAAAAAAGTTGAAACATGGGACAAGCTGATGTCTTGTACTTCTATTGCTTGAGGACAATGATGATCCAGCCTCCTGTGTTTATACATCGAAGACAAAACTCACTGTTGGGGTTCTGTGTCTTTGACCTCCCAGTGCATTCTTGCTGGCTGCTCAGCGGGATTTGAATAGATTGGCATGTGTACACCGCACATTGCCTCTTGAGTGGAGCATCACCATGTATACTGCTGAGCCGAAAGACTGGTAAAGGGTTGTAGCCCCAATTCAACTCCCTGTAGATCCTTGCAGAATGTATAGACCCCCTAACCATAGCCGCCATAGCCCTTATAGTAACCCGTTATAGTAGACTTTATCGCGGATTCTTCTCGTGACAGTTTTGCCAGCCAGATGCGATTCTTGCTGTTGAAATTGATGGCTCACCTCAGGATCTCTTTTCATATTAGTGTCGGGTGTTTAGTGCCTGGGTGATCCTGTAACAGTTCTCGTCGAACTTCCAAGCTGCTCTGAACAACCCGGCAAGAAAGGAACCTGAACATTCCTGAAACAGCCTTACAACCCTAAATTGGAGTGGCTACACTGCGAGCAGTTTGGTACATAATTCGCCGAGGGCTCTATCGCTACAGCTTAAACCCTCCACGTTGGGATGATTACGGGATGCTCTCTGCCGTGGCTCCGCGAAGCCCAAGTGTGGCACCGACGGACTTGGACGAGGCCTGCCTGGTTTGCACAAAGGGGTGTGTGGTGTTGAAGTTGTCGGTGCCACCACCTTGAGCAATAGCACATGGCGTCGTGTAGAGGATTGAGATGACAGACTTGGCAAGCTGAAGCCCTGCCGTTGCGAAGGACAGTGACTGCCGAGAGGACGACAGCGGAGCTGTCATCGATATCACTTCTGACCCGGAGACTCCGGCAGCTCGGAGGGAGAGGGGACCATAGGCAAGCCACGAGGAGTTCACTTGCGAACAGAAGAATGAGAAGTCTTTCTCGTAGAGTGTTCAACATGATTGCAAAGGTTAGTGCAAGTAGCAGAATCATTGGCTGGCTGCAATTCTGCTGGATCTGACTGTTATGGCCGATGTCTTGAATAGAGTAATAGAGGTCGTCAGCAAGACTGGACCCGTCATGCATCCTTCTGCCTTCCAATGGAGATGCGCAGGTCAAGAAGGTCCTACGATGCGCTGAAGTCCCAACGCCGCCACCACTTCCTGCTAGGCCCACGGAAGCAGGAACAAGTGGTCCTTGGCTTGATACTGGCATCCTGTAAAGTTGCCAGGAGATCGGCGACCTTCAGCCACCTTCCGCCGCAAGAGGCACCTGAAAGTGCGATTCACCTGGCTTGTACTTTATTCTCTCAGCTTCGGAATTTGAGGCAGTTTGTTCACATGGCAAACGATTCGTTTCTTTTGCATGTAGGGCTGTGTAGGCCGCCCAACAGCTTTCAGGGTATGTTGCAGGGTGTGGGTGGTTCTGGGACTATCAATACTGGCTGCCTGCCTCCCCACCGTAGGCAGCAGCACCAACGAAATACATTGTGCAGCAGCACCAGCAGATGCAACGACGGCACGCACCAATGACGGCTGGAGTCGCTGCTCCTGCTTCTGCTACTGCCAATACGACATGTCGGCTTTTGCGTTGAAGCCTAAATGCTTGAGCTTTGCTTCGAGGTCGCGGCACCACGCAGCCGCCAGTCCAGCTTGCTACTTTGGGCTCAATCGGGCGACGGCACCTCGAAGAGGCCTGGTTTTTAACTGGGGCTGCACTTCATGCGCAATGGGGAAAAAAGTTCAAATATCGCGGTTTCCACACGGTTGCGTTTTCCGTCGATGGCCGCGAGAGAATGCCTCCGCCCATGCATTGCGTCCTGGTACAAGATCTGCGTATGCAGCCAACGGACGGTATTCTATCTGCTGTGTCTTGTTGTTGTTACTGCTATGCCTTGCCACCGTCAACTGGCGGAGTTGAGCGTATGTTTGCGCTGTAGGTTTCTGGGACCAATCCGTGCTGTCACGATGGAATCTATAGCATAATGAGGTTGTTATGTGTTGTATCAAAATATTTTGTCGTGGTCTTCTTGCTGGCCTTTCTGCTTTTCGCCGCTTAGACTCGACCTATGGTGCGAGCGCCGAAACCATAGCATACAAGCCTGTGAATCCCTGCAAGCGTAAACCATGGTTAAGCCCTAGGCCCTAAACTTCCCCAATACCGTAATACAAGCATTAATAACAGCAATATCTAATGAAGATATAGATATAGATGGAGAGAGAGAGAGAGATATATATGTATATATATATATATATATATATCGAATAATGATTTTCCTATACCATACGGAATGAATCGCCTGAAGAGGCCTCGACGCCTGACGGCACAGGAGGCTATCGCACGGCGGCGGGAAAGGCGCGAGCGCAACGCCGACCTCAGGCGACCCGGCATTTTTGGGATTTAAGCTTTTTGGGGTTTATAGGGGTTAGACCGGTCGTCCAGTAGCAGTAATTGTATATAAAAGCGGTGTTATCGGGTTTTAGGGTGGGTTTATGGACTACTCACTGCAATGCTAAGTGCAATAGTCGAACTATTTGTGGTAGTAGTAGTAGTAGTAGTAGTAGTAGTAGCAGTAGTAGTGTCGGCGTGGTGGTGGTGGTGGTGGTGGTGGTGGTGTTGTTGTTGGTGGTGGTGGTGGTGGAAGCAGTAGCGGAGGAACGCACTAATACCACCGACCATACCATCGCAAGAGGCTCCACGGAATAGCCATTGTACTAAACCGAGGGTAGCAAGACTGCTGGGTTGCTTGGGAGGATTATGGGTCTTGGATGCTTGGCATGGTGCAAGGTCTACAGTCGGAAACGTACATGTTGGGCCCTGCAGGACCAGTGGTGTAGAGCTTGGGGTAAATGACGAAGGACGTTGACGTCTGGCATCTGTAGCAATCGCAGTGAGAAGAACTATGGCACGGAGGTCATCCATCCTGCAAGCTACACGTTCTTTTGCGGCAATGGCTGCAGCATCAATTGCACAGAAACATTCCACCGCAATCTCCAAGTGTCGTGCTGCTTGCTCTGCTTGTTGCCGGAGTCTCGCTAAGAGCCAAACAGTTGCCAACAGCCCTGAGCCCCTGAAGCCTGAGTGCTGGTATTCTCAGTAGTATATCGCTGGAAACTAACTAAAACTTGGCTCGTACTCAGCCAGGGTGCCCAAAAAAGGGCTCGGAATGACACCTGTTGTTATTGTTATGTTTATATGTACGTCTAAGTAGATCGAGATGTTTTGAAATTATACATCATGTAGTTTTTGTATAAATACGGAAAATTGCCGCTCTATACAACTATATAATCCTGATACAGTTGTTTGTGTGTATATATATATATACATGTGCATATGCATGCACATGTACATGTACATGTACATGTACATGATTGTACATGTACGTGTACATGTACATACATGCATACATACATACATACATACATACATACGTACATACATACATACATATACACAAGCCTTTTCTCTAGTCATATTGACGCATGTTTCAGTGTTGATAAATGGCTGTATTGGCTGTTGGCTGCGCCTGCAGATCCGGAGACCGGCCCCTGCCACCTCCTGTAGTGGGCTACGATGCCGGCATAGAGCGGCTGTGCGTGAAGACGGAAGCCGCTTGGAGATGAACTTCTTTGGGTTTGTAGCATTGTAGCACCGTCAAGGTGCTCCGGTGTTTATGCAATGCATCATAGGGACTACTTTTGGCTTGTTCAAAACTCGGTGTCATTCTGTGGCGTGCTGATCGGTCGAAACGTGCAGCCCCCCGCAATGACCCAGAAACCTGCAGATGAGATCTGCAAGTGCTCGACGAGGTCCACGGCGATCGGTTCAAACTTCAACCGTATACAATACAGAACGGCTACTTGCTTCTTGCCAGGGTTTTGGGTGGAGGCCCCGACATACCCGGACATGTTAAAATCCATTTCGAGTTCACAGGTAACATGATACCGCAACCCAAACCATCCCAAACCCTTCCGACCACGTACCTAGAGACCTCGCCTGGCTTGCTCGAGTTGTGACATAACAACCAGGTAGAAGGCGTGGACGTCCAGTTCCCAGTTCAACCCCTCGATGCGCAACGTCTCGTCATGGCGGCGGCTATGCGTGCCATGAGGGAGCAGAGCGTGGCCTTCGTCGAAAGCCCCACAGGTTTGGTGGGGAGGGTTCTGTTCCGAAGCGTGGAAGAGATCTTAGATGAATGCAGCTGGTTCATGTACATTCAACTTGTCATGCTTCTTGGAGACTGCATCTTTCACACGCTGCATAGCTGCCGCCAGAGCACTGTGAGCCCTGGAAGCAGACTTTCTTCGTTGCCTGGCAAGGCACCGGCAAGACCCTGGCTTTGCTGTCAGCAAGTCTGGCCTACCAGCACTTCCAGCAAAAGTCTGCCGAGGCCTCGTTGGGGAGCTGCAGGGGCACAGAAGAAGTAAAGTAGCGATGATAGATGATGGCAAGAGTTCGTGACAAGTTCATGACGGCGTAAAAAGCGTCCGAACCTGCAAAGCATAAGCCTGCCTCCTAAGTCTTCGACCCGCATATGGCAAAGCGCCTCATATTTGGGGTTTCCGCAAATGCCGATCCCACATGCAGTGAGGCGCCTGTGCAGAGGCATATAGGCTGTCTTCAAACGATTACATATATTGCATCTGCACGTGATCAGGCCTATTCCACAAGTACATGTTGGATTAGTGAACATATGTACACACACAAGGACACACACACACAAACACACATTTCTACATATATATATATATACACATCGGTATATGCATATACGCAGAGGCAGACCGAGAGAGAGAGAGAGAGAGAGTCAGAGAAGACAGTACTAGCAGATTATGTATTACATGTACGATTTGCGAAAGACTGTATATTATATACTAGGCCCGCTACTCCTGAACGAACGGATCTATTCCGCAGAGTTCTTTGGGTCCCAGCCCAGCAGTTTTACGCCGGGCATGTCCGCAATGATCGACAAGGGCAAGGGAAAAACTAAAGCGCTGCCGGACTCGATAAGTGTTTACGTCAAGTGGTGTCCGGAGACGAAAGAGCTCTTTGACAACTATCGGATAAGGTGGAATGAGGAAGAGTTGGTGATCATGCAATTTCCAGATGTGCCCGTCACCATCGAAGACATGGGCAATTGGATAGAGTCGCGTGTGGAGAGGCTTTATGAGCTCTCGACACAGGGGATGGACAAAATCATGGTGCAGTCCCAGTATCTGACTACAGCTTACAGACCAGACAAGTATCTCCCCTGGCAAGATCCAGCACACAGATATTTCAGAGATGGCGACGTGGTGATGGTTCAGTGTCAGGCCATGTCAGCACAGCAGAGGGATCCCTTCACAAAGGAGGAGATTGAGACGTTCAAGAAGACGCTGCGCTTCGAGCAGGGCGATCGCGTGCTGTGCAATTGCGGCCAGCTTTGGATCTCCGGGTGGATCGTCGGCGTGGCACTGGAAGACGATCAAGATCTTCTTCCGTATGTCGTCAAGACAGACCCGATCCCAGGCTTGCCTTCGAGGACAATCTCCGTCCCACATGACCGCGACGAGGTTTGTGTCCAGGAGGTGTGCTTCAACCCCCGTTCCGAGATGCACTTCGTGAAGTGCGCCGCGACACGGTTGGCAGGTTCTGCAAAACCACAACTCCGATTCACTGAGGGCGACAAGGTAGCCGTTCGCCTCAAGAGCGGACCGGATGGACTCGAACGCTGGGTTTCCGGATGTGTTACTGATTTGTGGCCTTCCTTACCCGGGAAGCTTCAGTGGGAGATCGAGGGCGTCACCGGGGAGTACCCTAAAGAGGTGCCATATCGAGTGGACCTGTCACCGCTTGGCTGGTGCTTCGTGCACAGAGATGACCACACACTCATCCGCCGCGAGGGTCTCCAGCCACAAACCCGTGTGAAGGGCACCTTGGTCGATCCATTCTACTTGTTTTTGGTATATGTTTTTGTGTGGGATAGTGTGGGTTTCTTAATTTTTGGCAATGGAGCAATAGAGAGAAGTCCTCTTTCTGCTCCTTCCAAGCAGAAAACCCAGGCATGAGCAAACGCCTCGAGGTGCGAAGATGCGAGGACGGCAGCAGGGAACAGGTCGACCATCAGACGGAGCGTCGCAAGCGGATGCCGCAATGCAGCCTTGACGACATTTCAGACTCGGACGATGATATCTAGGAGTCTAGTAGTTAGAGTTAGAGACATATATGCTCGGCAGACAACGAGGGGTACTAGTCGTTTCACTCAGCCTGAAGCGCACATTTTCCGCAGCGGCACAGGTTTGTGCGCAGGCAGTCAGAGGGGTCTTAAGTTCAGTTTTCAAGACAGGATCAAATTTTGAATTCTGTGGCACTCTGAATAATCTCTCTCTCTTGCTTGCAACCTTGGTTTTGGAAGCTTACACATCCCGCCGGCCCAAGACTAAGACGTTCTCCGAAGCCTGAAGACAACTCTTAGCCCTCAGACGAGCCAAGCTGAAGCAAGTGGGGGTGAATGGCCAAGTATGGGCCTCCGATGTAATAAGGGCTTTACTGCTGTGGGAATGCACTGCCCGCATAAAGATTCATCGGACTCACACTGAGCTCGGAGCACAGAGTCGCAGCATGGCGTGGCTACTGCCACCAAGATCCAGCTCGATGGAAAAGAACCGATGATGGAGGGATTTGGAGTGTGTGTGTGTGTGTGTGTGTGCGTGTATGTGTGAGCAGCACTGTCCGGGACAACATCAAGTCGCACCTGCGGCCGCTGCAATGGAGGGTAAACAGCGGGCTCAGGCGGAAAGCGTATCGAGATGCTATCTTAAGTTGTCCTGAATTATTCGATTCTCCGACTGTTACCGTTAGCCGAAATGGACTCGGGGATACCACTTGCGTCGGTGAATTCTGGGGACCTGTTTTGTTGCGACTACTTTGCTTCGGTTTGATAGGGTTAGAGCTACTTGCTATCTCCTGCCAGACATCAGGAACAAGCATTCATCAAAGTTGAAATGTCCTTTCGCTCCAGCTTTCAACCCAGCATCACAAACGTTTGACGTCCGTGAGTCCCAAAAGCACCCCAAAGTCGGAAGAGCCAGAGACTATCGGCCCTTCACGCCTGCGGTCCAGGCAGTGAGCACCAGCGAAAGCAACGCGAAGCTGGGCTGCAGTTGACTTCATGCACTTGGGGTTTGCTGGAGAATTACAATGCGTAAGGTTGTGCAGCGGGAGTTTTATTCTCACGAAGAATCGCGTGCCGGACAGTCGGAGTTTCGGTCTGTGGTCAGGGCCAGGACCTTCATACTTCATACTCAGGACTCTTTTTCAAAGGTAAACTCCTGCCATGTTTCCTCAGCAAGAGTATGGCCTCGGTTTCGCCTTTGAACTTTGCTGTAGTCGGAGACGGCTACGACGTAACGATCTGAAACTCTGCGACGGTCGGATCGATCCAGCTTCCAAGCCCCCGTTCCGTGTACACGGTCGACAGCACTCCTCCTGGTATTCCACGTGAGCTGTGCGTTTGCTTGTTCTTGTTCCAACGTGCGAGTCTCTTTAATTGCTTTGAGCGCTTTAGCCACTGTAGCCTGTCGGACTAGGCATGTTCCCAGAGTTGTCTGGATTGCGCGGACGCACGACCAGACGCTCGTCTGCTAATGATGGCGGAGCTGAAGCCCTCAGATGTTCGACAGGCAGGTCTTCATCAGCTGAAGCAGCACCAAGGACCGAACCAGCCCCCCTACAAGGTTCCAACACAGAGTAGCGATCATGCATGTGCACGAAGAGGCCGCCGGGACCCGTGTGTGCAAGTGTGACGCCGGGGTCTGTGCGTGTTCACCAGCAGATCCTTCAAGTAATAACAGATGATGGACACAAAGAGCGTCAGCAGCAACAACAGCAAGGTACAAAAAATAACCACAGCCCCGTCAACCCATACATCTGCTTTTTGTC